GTCTCCAGATGACCTTGTCCCTGATCTTGGGAAGGCAGGGGGTCCCCTCCATCCTCCCCCTTGCACCCATGCTCCCAGGCCCTCTTTTTCACCTCCCGTCCGCCCTTGTAACCCCCCGCCCCCCGCCCACCCACCAATGAGGCTGCGGTATCCATGCAGGAGTGAGTTCCTCTGCTCCTGCTCAGGGCTCACAGACTTCCACTGCAGCTTCATGCGGAAGTACTCATCCCTGAGGCATGGGGAGGGGAGAAACATCAGGACGTTCCTTGGTGCAGGTCCCAGGGACGCACCTGGAGACCTCCCAGCCCAGTGTCACCTCTTCACCCTTCAGGACTTAGATCCCAGGCCACTTCCACAGGTCCCAGCAGGCCACCGAGTCATTCTTGCCACCACACCTTACACCTCCCCCTCCTGACATCTCTCATGACAGACGTATTACTTGTGGGCTTTTGGTGAAAACCTGTTACCCGCCCCTCCACTGGACAGAGAGCACTAGAGACAGAGAACAGTCAGACACTGCTATATCCTCAGTGCCGCAAGGGGCCAGGCACACAGCAGGTGCATAATATATACCAGGAATGAGAAGACAGACCGTATGAGGTTACGAAACATGCTGCAAAGCTGTGAAAATTAAAACAGTATGGCACAGGAATGAAAACGCCCATGGAGATGAGACAGACCATACAGAATTGGGTATGGGTCTGGCTTATTCACACCATATCCCTGGGGATACATGCCCAGCACATGGCAGGTTCACACCTGTTGTACACGGAACCAGCCAGTTTGCTGCCCACTGGTGCCCCTACAAAGCAAGAGGTGCTGGGCTGGCCACTGGGGATTTGCTATTGATCAAAAACCTCCAATGGACCTGGGAGGCTGGGAAGGTTGAGGCCAGAGGCTGGCAGGGCAGAGGTATCTTGAGGACACCGGATCCACCATTTTTCACTCACGTTTTCTTGCGCACGTGGGTCTTGTGCTCCTCAGCTGAGCCCTCCCAGCTGAGGTACCCCAGGAGGAACTTCCAGGCCTCACGCCGCAGGCCAGGGCTCAGGCCCTGAAGCAAAGCAGGCAGCTCAGAGGGGCCTCTGGGCCACCTGCCAGAACCGTCCCGCCCTCCCACCCACTCTGGCGCTCACCCCCGAGAAGATCCGGTTCTTCAGCTCAGAAACTTGCTGCAGGCGGCCCTCAGGGCCCACATGGCGGGCCCACTCCTCCTCTGTGACTGGAGGAGCCCGCTCCACAGCTGGCCGAGGCCCCAGCTCCACCTGCAAGACACAGGGCATGTGAGCTCAGGGGCTCAGCCAGGTCTGGCCCCTAACTCCATCTCAGTCCACCTCCAAATGAGCTCAGGGCCCTCCTTAACTCAACAGACAGTTAACATTCAGGGACAGAAGCAGGTCCTTTCCCAGGTCAGCAACAAAGTTGTCCCTCAAATCAGAAAGGGCCCTCAATAACAACAGCCATCAGTTGAGCACTGTGCCTGGCACAGCTGTGCTCACTTTCTGTGAAATCGCTCCTTATGCAACTCGATGCGGACGGTGCTGTTACTTTTCCCATTTTACCCAGAAAGAAACTGAGGCTGAGGGAAATGAAGTCACATGCCCAGGTGACACAGCCAGGAAGTAACAGGAAAGGTCCACTTAATACTCACACAGGAAATGACCTCGAACCCAGGCTCAGGCTCATCATCGGGTGGTGGAGGAAGGTCGGGAGACACCCCTTCGGGGTGTGGCTGTAGGGCTCCCCGGAAGAAATTGGTCACTCGGGAGAAGCTGCTGAACGTGGTGGAGTAGGGGTCCTGGAGAAAGCGCTACGGATAGAGCCGAAAGGACGGTCACACCCACCCCTTCCAGTATCATCCCTCCCCACCCACATCACACCACTCCTGGTGCCAGGGACACTCACAGACACTACGTTGGAGCTGTCCTGGTCAAAGAGCTGCAGGTGGTGGAAGGAGTTGGAGAGGGCAGAGGAGTCATGGGGGAAGACAAGGTAGAGGCGGGAGTCCTGTGGGGAGCTGGGAGGCGGGAGGTTAGGCACAGGTGATGCACAGGTGGAGGGCCTGGTGTCCCCGGCTGTCCAGGCCCACCCTGCATTTGTTCCATCCACCCTGGGGTATCCCTCAGCTGGGGCATGCTGATGCAGGGGGAGGCCTCAGACCTGAGCTGGACCATGGGGGCAGGCACAAGACAGAGCGCTGGCCAATGAGGATCTTCCACCTCCTGGGCCATGGCAACTGATTCAGGGACGAGCCAATGAAAGGCAGCCCTGGGATCTCGCTGGAATATGGGGAAAGAGACACTTTCTATCCACCGAGGTTGCTAAGCCAGGGTTGCTGGGGGTCCCAGAGAATGATAGGAACTCAGAGGATAGAAGAGCAACTCTTTCTAACATTTTGGGACCCAGGTCCTTCCTGAAATTAATACTACCCTTTGACTTCCCAGTTATACGCACCAATCAATTCCTTTTCTTTTCCTTTAACTCATTTTGAGCTACATTTCTTTCACAGCCCTGAGGGGTCAGGCTAGAGAGGGACAGGGCCTGGTCAAAGGCTCACCTGGCCAACAGCAGGTAGCGGCTGAGAACGCGGAGCAGGGCACGGGTGCCCCCACGGTGGAAGTGCAGGGCGGGCAGGGAGCCTCCAGCTTGTGTCACCAGGACCAGGTAGGCCCAGCTGAGGCCTGGCTTGGAACGGCGGATGGACTTGAGTTCCCCCAGACTCACTGAGAATGCCCAGGAGCCTTGAGGAGAGTGGGGCTCTGCACCTAGAGGGATAGTGCTGTGTTAGGAGCAGGTGTGGGAGGCCAGAGGTAGCCATGTCAATACAGGATGTTTGTGCAGTACATTTGTCTCTTGAGGGCCCCACGATGAGCCACCACCAGACCCTGGCCTCTGGGAACTCTGGGTCACCTCACATTTCCTTGGAAGCACAACTGGATAAAATAGGAAGAAAGGCTGATGGACATGTGCTTGTTCCAAAAACTTTCCAGGCTCCCCATGACCTGCAGGGTAAAGACTATATTCCTCCACCTGGCACTCAAGGCCCTCAGGTCTGTCCCTGGCCCCATCTGCCTCACCTCCAACCCCCTCTTTGCTCCAGACCCCACACTTGAGCTACAATGAAAGGCTGGTGGCTCCCAAAACACATCCAGTGCCACACGCCTCTGGCCTTACACGGGCTGCTGTCTGCCAGGAGAGAAAATTCTCAAGAGTCCTTCAGAGCCCAGCTCTGGCATCGCCTTTTCCTAGAAGGTATCTCCACTCCCCAGAAAGGTCAGATGACTTCTGGTGCTCCCAGCAACCTGTGTGACTCCAGGACGGCACAAATCGCCCCCTAACTGGCTGCATCTGTCATAGGACCAGCCTTAAACCTTCAGAGGCAAGAGTCATGTGTGGGTGTCCATAGCCAATCTGGGAGCCCAGTGAGATGGGCGAGGATGCAAACCCAGAGACGCTGGCCATGTTGGACCTGGGCTACAACACTCCTGTACCCCCATCCACCTCCACTCTCCCACCCAGTGAGCTAACCAGCCATCCCTATATAGGGATACAAACCTGTGGCCTTGGTGTTATCTGCACCGCAGTCTCCCAAGTGAGCCACGGGCTGGCCCTAATCGAGTTGACTTCTAAGTGACTGATGGACAGGGAGTATAAACAGTGCGTGGATCTGAACACATGAGTGACTCACGTCCCGGGCAGGACAAAGTGGGAGAGTGCAAGACTTCATCACACTACTTAGAACAGCACGTGATTTAATGCTTATGAATTGCTTATTTCTGGAATTTTCCATTTAATATTTTTGGACCGAGTTTGACCACACGTAACTGAAACCATGGAAAGCAAAACTGTGGATAAGGAGGCACTACTGTAATAATGTTGGCAAGACTATAGAGAAACCGGAAGCTTCACATACTGCTGGTGGGAATGTAAAATGGTGCCACCATTTTGGAAAAGTCTGGCCGTTCCTCAAAAGGTTAAACGAAGCATTACCATAACGACCCAGCAATTCCACTCCTAAGTATATGCCCAAGAGAAATGAATACATATGTCCACACAAAGACTCATACACAAATGTTCGTAGCATCATTACTCAGACTAGCCAAAAGGTGGAAACAAACCAAACGCCCATCGAACTGATGAATAAACAAAACGTGGCACATCCATACAATGGAACACTATTCCGCCTTTAAAACGAACAAAGCACTGATAACATGCTACAACATGGATGAACCTTAAAAACATCTTAAGAGAAGCCACATACAAAAGACTACATGTTGTATGATTCCACTTATATGAAATGTCCTGACAAGCCAAATCCAGAGACGGAAGCCGATTCTCATGGTCCCTGCTCTCTTTCCTTGAATGGGCATCTTCAGCCAGTTTCACAGAGAGTAGGAAACCACCCGGTTCCCAAACAGGGTCATACATGTCCCAACGGTAGGTCTGAAATTGTACTGCTCGGACCTAGAAAAAGTGAGTGAAGGGGGAAGTGAGGGAAGCCTACCTTCTTGGAGAAGAAGATTTGAGTGGAATCTCCAGCCTCCTCAACAGGAGCCCAGTGCAGGAGGACGTCACTGTCCTAAGGAAGAGGGGAGGAGTTAGAGTGGCTCCCCCCCAAAAAACTCCCCAAGCAACAAATTTCCAAACTTTTTTTCCCCAGTCTCCATCCTCAGCCTTTCAAAGATCCATTCCTTATTCCCGTTCCCACCCCCAGCCTTCCTGAGGTTCCACTGCTGACCTCCACCCCGCTCGGAGCCTGCCCAAGCCCTGCTCCCACCGAGCCCACCTTTTCCACAACACGGATGACACCAGCGATGAGGGAGTCCGGGTCCTGGTGCTTCTTAGCACTGGTATGCAAGTACACGCCTCCCTTCTCAAACACCACCTGGGGCGGGAAGCAGTGAGGGGCGGGGCTTGGGAGGTAGCCAATGCGGGTGGACCCGAGCGGGAGGATTCGTAGGGGGCGCGGCATGAAGGACCCCTGCGGAGGTATCCGTATTTTGCCCTGCGTTCGGGTGTGGACGTCCCTTCCAAAAGAGGCGGGGCCCAGAGAGACCTTAAGCCCGGGGGCGGGGCTAAAAGATATGGTCTCTCCCTAGGTGATGGAAGGGAAGGTAACAGCGCGTTTATAAGGAAACGGTGCGAGGCGGGGCCCAGAGAGACCTTAAGCCCGGGGGCGGGGCTAAAAGATATGGTCTCTCCCTATGTGATGGAAGGGAAGGTAACAGCGCGTTTATAAGGAAACGGTGTTTGCTAAAGGTCTGCCAGGCTCCCAGGGCCCCCGCACGACCTGAGGGAGAAGCAGACCACCAGACGGGGGCTGTTCGCACAGACAGAAGCCAGGGATTGCGTCCTCAGTGCTTACCCTGCAGTTGGCTCCCTCCATAGCCGCCGCCGAGGCTCCACTGCCCGGGCCTCCTTTTCCGGGTCAACGTGGGTCACATCCGGAAAGGGCACTCCCCCCCAAAGCCGGACAGTGGTAGCGCCTCTACCCGTTCTAGAGCCGGAGTGGGTGAAACTATCTTTCAAAATGGGGGAATTGCACTACGAGGGTTAAAGTCACGTGGCGCTGACGCTAAGACAGGCCAGAATGAGCAGAAGGGGCATGACAACTTTCACCACGAAGTAAACAAGTGGGAGGGTGCAAGAGCTCCACCTCCTGGCTCAAGCCGAAACCCTCACTTCCTTCTCCATATTGTATACTGGCATCGAAGCCAAGGAGGTGCCATTTTGCTCTAGGGCACAGCCTAAGCATGTGGGCTGAGGCCATGTTAATGCGGGGCAGTCCCATCTCTCTGCGGGGCGCGACAGTGAGGTGCTGGAAAAGAAGCACAAAGGAAAAGGTGAGAGGAGCTATACGTCACAAGAAGACTGAGGGACTCGGGATAACGGGATGAAGCTCTCAGTGCTCCTGGGGACGAAGCAGTCAGAGGACTTTCTGAGTCACCGTCGAAAGAGGGCCGAGCCGCCATTTTGAAGCTGGGCAAAACGAAGCAAGAAATGCTGCCATATTGGATGTTGCCAGCATTGGTGCTGGGGCGGTGGGGGGTTAGGTTGGAGGAAGAGAGAACCCTTATTTATTATGGGCAGATGAAGCCAGGCCGCTGCCATGTCGTTAATGGTCACCACTTTGCTCGATCTCTGTTGAAGAAGTTGATTATGGGCGAGGGACGTTGGGTCGCTTGCCTTAGTATACTATGGTTATGAGTGAGCATATGCGGAGGGCCACATTACTTGGGGTCAGATCGAAATGGTCTAGGCTTGTTGCGCAAACTGAAGCCTTTCTTTCGCCATCTTTCTTACGATCACTCTGCTGTCGCCGTTCCCCACTGATCCTGATGAAGCCCCTGTGGCTGCCATTTTGGTCTCCGGAGGCCCAGATGAGGGAGGGGTAGCTACGCGGAAGTGACGCAAGACACCGCCATGTCCTTTGAGGGCGGCGACGGCGCTGGACCGGCCATGCTGGCTACGGGCACGTGAGTGGAGGCGGTGTTGTGAACCGCGGTGTGGGGAGGATTTGGCCGTCCTGAGAAAGAGGGGCGCTGGGGGGACCAGGTGCTCACAGGAGGGGTATGACCTGCATAGATCAGAGGGCAGAGACTGTTCAACGATACTTTCTGAGTGCTGGGAAGGGGCCGCCCGCGGGAACCGTTGTGTCTGACCCGAGGCAAATCCTAGACAGCCTTACCTTCCAGTGTCCAGACCTATAGGGATTATTCTCTTAGCCGTGGACCATGTCCATGGGGTCGGAGAGTTGCTCGGGGGGCCGCGGGGCTCCCCTCACCCGTCCAGAGGCGGGACTTCCGGTCCTGGCCCCAGCTGGGCGGGATTTCCTGTTTTCTTCCTGGCGAACTGGGCCTTCCCCGGACCCCTGAGCGTGCTGGGGAGGTGGGGAGGTCTCTGAGTGGCCGGGCGAGGCCGCAGACATTCACTCCGCCCCTGGCCGTGCGTGCATGCTCGGGTTCCTCACACTTTCGGGTGAGGGGCACGTCCAGCTTGACAGGCGGTGGTGGTGGTGAGACTTCACTAGCATCCCTCGTTCTGTGGGGACCTTATTCCTCTTTCCTCACCTTTTCCTGGAGTCAGTTTCTTCACCCCACCCCCTCTCCTTACTTTTCATTCCTCCTCACCTTATTCTAAGAGACCAGTCACCTTACTGCTCCCCTCCTGTGGGGGACACGTCTCACCCCCTTCTCAGCTCTCCCTATTTTTTTTTTTTTTTTTTTTTTGCGGGGGCTGAGGGTGCAGCTGGCCGGTGAGGGGACCCAAACCCTTAACCTTGCTGTTATAAGGCTGCGCTCTAACCAACTGAGCTAACCGGCCAGCCTTCTCCCTAATCTTACACTTCTCCCTTGGGGCAGGGATTTTCCTCTATCTCTCACTCAGCTCCTTGGAGGAGGAGGCCTTCCTCCAGAAGCTGAAGAGTAGGTGGATTCCCCAGGTCTTGTCTACTCTCCTGTTGGTTATAGACTCTAGGGAGCCCCCAGACCTTGGCAGAGGTCTGTGTAAGTTGCTGTTCTTTTTGCCTGTGCCTACTCTCTGAGGTAGGGGGACCTTCGCAACCTACTCACCCCCATTTCATTCTTTTTAACCCTGTGGGGACCCCAAGATCTAGTACGGAGAGGGAAGCTCGTTCCCCCTATACCCTCCATGTCATTAGGGCCTAGGGACCCAAGGAATTGAGAGCTGCAGGCCTAGCACTGCCAGGCAGTGTGTCCTTGAATCAGTCAATTCCCTGCTCTGAACCTCGGTTTCCTCCGTCAGATGAGGACATGAAGAGTATGTATAAGACAGGGTACCTCCCAGCTTTGTGGGGCTTTGAAGCTGGGCAGACAGCAGTTTCAGCCCTGTCTAGCTATGTGTCTTCTGGCCAGTGAGTTAAGCTCTCTGAGCCTCACTTTCCCCACCTGGATTAGAAAAGTATAAATCCTAGGGCCGACCCCGTGGCGCACTCGGGAGAGTGCAGCGCTTGGGTGCACAACGGCGCTCCCGACTGCAGGTTCGGATCCTATATAGGGATGGCCGGTGGCACCGCTCACTGGCTGAGCGCGGTGCTGACAACACCAAGCCAAGGGTTGCGATCCCCTTACCGGTCACAAAAAAGACAAAAAAAAAAAGAAAGAAAAGTATAAATCTTTTCTCAAAAAAAAAAAAAAAAAAAAAAAAGATAAATCTTTTCTCATAAGGCAGGCAGAATGGCAGTCAGGATTAAGAACAGACTGTGGATCCAGACAGTCAGAGTCTAGATTCCAGCTCTTACTGGCTGTGTGACCCTGGTCAGGATGCTGAATCTCCCTGGGCCTGAGTTTGCAATTGTAAAATGGGGTGGTAACAGCTTCTCCCTCATAGGGTAGGTGAGAGGGTAGTATGAAAAGGTCCTGCCTCGGGTCCCTGCCTGGCATGTGGATAAGCTTTGTCCTTCCAACAGGGCTTCGTACTCCCCAAGTCCGGGTTGTTAGTCAACAGCTCCCACCTTGGTGAGTCAGGTAGGTGAGTCAGGTATCCCTGCAGGGAGCAGGTGCTCAGCAAACTGGCTTCTATGATCCAGAGTCACAAAGGGCCTGCATATTGAATTTAAGCTCTAGACTCCCTGCTCCCATTCACTACAACCCTGGTGGGCTGGGCCATAACTCTGCTTAAATCCCTCCAGTAATGGTGTGCTCACTATCTCCCTGAGGAGGCACCTCAGCTGCCCAACTGCGCCAACTCAACCACTGTGGTTAATGGGAAAGAAAGTGAGGCACAGAGAGTGCCAGTGTGTAGTCCAAAGTCACACAGCAGGTTTGAGGCGTAGTCAGGACAGGAAGCCAGCCCCACATCTCTTGCTCTTCTCAGCTCATAAGATTTATCTAGCAGATTGCTTAGGGCAGACCTGTCCTGGGGACTCAGATCCCTGACCTTGGGGAGTTCACAGTCTGATGGAGGAGGCAGATAGACGTACAGCTGTCACAAGCTTGGGTGACATGAGCTATAATGGGGAGAGCCCAGGGCATGTGGAGACTATCAGTGAAGACATCTGATCCATCCTGGGGATCAAGGAAGACTTTCAAAGGAACTGCCAGGAGAGAGTCCTGTAGGAAGTACAAAAGCTTTGTGGTGGATTTCCAGGCACAGAGAGCAGTTCCAACACCATTTTTGGCCTTTGTTCAACCCCCAGTCTCAGGCCTCTCAGTCATAGAACCAAACAGTATTCTCCAGAGGGAAATGTACTATAATAGGGATCGCTCAGACATTGTGGGAGCCCAAAGTAGGAGACTGGCTCAATCTTGGGGCAAAGGAAAGTTTTTCTACATTAGGATGAGTGAAAGATCGGCAGTGAATGGAGAATGAGTAACCACCTTGTCTGAAGGCCTTGGTCCTCAGAGGGTCTGGAAGGCTAGGCAGGTGATAGATACTGCCTGTGAGGCCAGGGGCAGTGCCAGACCACACAGGGCCTCCAAAGCCAGGCTGAAGGGCTGGGACCTTGTCCGGGGGACTCTGGCAAGGAATAGGGTCGGCGCTAGTTATAGAGGGACCTCTCTGGGCCTTGTGCTGGAAGGACTGGAGTTTGGGAGGCGGGGAGGGAGGCCAGGGTGATGGAGCAGGGCAGCACCATCCAATGAAAACATAAATGCAAGCCACGCATGTAGTTTGAAATTTTCTACAAGCCGTGTTAAAAGAGTAAAAAGAAAACTGATAAAATTCATTTTAGCCATATGTTTTATTTAGCCAGTATATCTAAAATGTGATCATTTCAATATGGACTCAATATCAGATGGTTACTGAGCTATTTTACTTTCTACTTTTTTGTACCATGTCTTCAAACCCGGTGTGGGTTTTGCACTCACAGCACCTCTCTGCTTGGACCTGCCATGTTCGAGTACTCTTTACTTGCATGTGGCTGGTGGCTCCTACATGGGACAGGACAGAGCCAAGAGTAGAGACCAAGCTGAGAAAGGACGGTGTAAACACTAGGGGCAGGAGGGCTAGGCCAGTGGAGATGGATGGTGAGGAATCCCCCAGGAGTAGCGGGTTTGGAGAAGACACTGAGGTCACCTGGGACTAGGTGGGTGGGAGGGCGTGAGTGGCATCCAGTGGACAGGTGAACACGTGGGGCTGGGTGGGAATGGTGCAGTCCTGCCAAGCCTCATCCCCTTCCGTCTTGCTTTGTCCCACAGGGCGTGGATGGCGTCGGGGCGCCCTGAGGAGCTGTGGGAGGCCGTGGTGGGGGCCGCTGAGCGCTTCCGGGCCCAGACGGGCACGGAGCTGGTGCTGCTGACTGCTGCCCCACCACCGCCACCCCGTCCGGGCCCCTGTGCTTATGCAGCCCACGGCCGGGGGGCCCTGGCAGAGGCTGCCCGCCGCTGCCTTCATGACATCGCCCTGGCCCACAGGGCTGCCGCTGCTGCCCGGCCCCCAGTGGTCCCCCCAGCACCACAGCCACCCAGTCCCGCACCGAGCCCACCCCGGCCTACCCTGGCCAGGGAGGATGATGAGGAAGATGAGGATGAGCCAACAGAGACAGAGACCTCTGTGGATCGGCTGGGCATCAGCGATAATGGAGGTGAGAGGAGCAGAGGGCAAGGGCTTGTGGCTTGGCAAGTTACCCACAGTAGTTTTCTGGTAGGTGGCACGTGCTGATCTCTGAGCCTTGATGTTCCTTGAAAGTTGTGGTTTCAAGGGCCTGGCAGCCAGACACACTTACCCATAATCTACTGTTACTTTAAGCCAGACATTTCCCCTCTCTGAGCCTTACCCTGGCTTCCTTGTACTCATGACCTGGGGCCAGCTCTGTGCTGAGAGACACAAAGCAGCTCGGGCTCTTTTATCGAGGGGCTTCCCATCTGGCCAAGGAATTGGATCCTGACATGGGTATACCCTATAGAGGCCATCGGGGCCAGGGTGTCTCCTGAGGTTGGATGCTTCCCAGAGAATGGGCTGTAACACTAGGGCTTAAGGAGTTAAGGAGTGAGTAGGAGTTTGCTGGGGGCTTAGTAAATAGGAGTTACTCATTTATTGTTATTACCAATGGCTGGCCTTGTCACCATTGCTGGAGAAAACCTGCATGGGATGCAAAGTACAGACTCTGGAGCCAGATGTCCGGGGTTCAAATTCTGGTGATGCCACTTACTATCTGTGGGACCTCAGGCAAGTGACTTAACCTCTCTGGGCCTCCATCTCCATTTGTCAAAAAGGATCATAAACACCCCATATTTCTCTCAGCCTGTATGTTGAGTCATATCAGATAGATCTCATCCCAAACAGATCTTAGATGTTTCACATTAGTGCAGCCAGTTGTTCATATCTGAGGGTGTAACAAATAAGACAGACACTAGATTTGTTTCTGCCAATGACGAGCAGATAAACAGGGCAGAGTGTTTGAGGCAGAGGGAATAGTAATCACAGACACCCCAGGAGGCAGTGGCAGTGGCTGGAGGAGAGGGCCCATGGAGTGTGGCAGGGACCTGACTGACTCAGGGCCTCTGACATCACCCACAGGGCTCTTTGTGATGGATGAGGATGCCACCCTCCAGGACCTGCCCCCCTTCTGTGAGTCAGACCCTGAGAGCACAGACGGTGAGTGTCCCAGGCTGTCCCCTTCCCTGGGGGGCTGGGACAAGGGCAGGGACAGAGGCTGAAGTCCACCCTCCCTCCCAGATGGCAGCCTGAGTGAGGAGACCCCTGCTGGCCCCCCAGCCTACTCAGTGCCCCCAGCCTCAGCCCTGCCCACGCAGCAGTACGCCAAGTCCCTGCCCGTGTCTGTGCCTGTCTGGGCCTTCAAGGAGAAGAGGACAGAGGCTCGATCATCAGACGAGGAAAATGGGCCGGTGAGGGGCAAATGAGGGGAGGGGAGTATTTTGGCCCTCCAGATGGGGAAACTGAGGCTTGGAGGGGTCAGATCACCCCCATCCCCACCCCACACATTCCTAGCCCCTCATCTTCTGTTCCTCCCACACTGTCCCATGTGTGGACGTCATGGGCTGGCCTGGCCTAGGGGGGTCCTTGTCGCCCATCACAACACATCACAATGAAACTCTCTGAAGCTGAAGGGAAATTGAAGCACTGAGATGACTTCCTGGAGGTCTGGGATTGGAACCCAGCTTCCTTTCAGGAAGGAGCTGTGGGCTATGATGGAGGAGGCCTGCGGGCCCATAGTCCTCAAATGCCTCAGTGTCCTTATTTGCAAACTGGAAATCAAAACAGTGACAGCCACCCCCACCCAAGCCCCAACTCCCCTAGGCTGTAGGAGGGCCCAGTGAGGCAGTGAAAGCTGAAGTCCAAGAACAGTGCCTGGTCCAGGAAGGGGGCATCAGCTGCTGCTGTCCTTGCTTGAGACTCATGAAAACACAACTAATTGAACGTTCGGGGGCTCCTGAGTGCTGGCCCTGGGCTGATCTCCTAAAGGGCTCAGGGCAGCTACTGCTGGTCGTGGCCTCTCCCATTCTATTGGGGGAGGGCAGGCCCAGCTCAGGAAGACAGGGACTGTAATGGAGGCAGCACTAGGTGCCAAAGCTGCAGGCAGAATGGCAGGACAATTCCCTGGTGGGGGCCAATCTGGGGATGGAACCTTTCTGTACAGCGGTGGCCACCTGACGGTAGTTGACCTTTCTTAAGAAGTCACTGAGCTAATGATCTCAGCCCTCACAGGGACCCTGTTTTGCAGAGGGAAAGATCGAGTACTAGGGAGGCGAAATCTTTTGTTCACAGCTAGCTAGTCGGTGGCAGAGGTCTGATTGGAACATGACCGAATCCCCGGGCCAAATCCTCAGACATGAGACCCTCTGGGTGCATACAGCCTTAATAGCGGACAAGCAGCACTGGGACAGTCCGGGACAAGAAGGGGAGGAGAAGAGGGACAGGAAGGCTTCTTCGAGGAGGTGGTGTCTGAGTCGGTTAGAAGGGCCCCTTCGTGGAGCAAGACAGGTTGAAGGGCATTGCTGGCACTGGGCATCGCAGGGCACAAGTGGGGGTGGGGGGAACGTTCTGGGAGGGGCCTGGAGCCCAGGGTGCAGGCGCTGCAGGTGGGTGCGGCGGGGGTCCCTGCCGGCGCCAACCCCGCACCGCCGTGGTCTCCGCAGCCCTCCTCGCCCGACCTGGACCGCATCGCAGCGAGCATGCGCGCGCTGGTGCTGCGGGAGGCGGAGGACACCCAGGTGTTCGGGGACCTGCCGCGGCCTAGGCTCAACACCAGCGACTTCCAGAAGCTGAAACGGAAATACTGAGGCTCAGGGAGCGAGTTTGCAGGCCCTGGGTCCTCCCAGCACCACACTACACCACCGTCCCTCCCCCGAGGCCCGCCCATCCGAATCAGAGCCGGGACCGCCTCCCCCTCCCACCCCGTCCCGTCGCGTCCCTCGGGGCCCCCAGGATTTACCAGCCCTGCCAATTCCCGCCGCCCTCCCAACCCACGGCCTTCTGCGCGGAGCAGCGGGATCTGTCCGGCCCTCCGATTGGTCCGTTGCCCCTTTGTCCAGCAACAAATCCTTCGTACGACGGGATTGGCTGGCTCCCCGGTGGGGCGTGGCTAGCCCTGGTCCCTAAGTGGGCCAGCTCTGTCGTTCTCCTCCCGGCGACGCGGGCTTGGCTCGGGAGGCACTGGCTCCGTCCCGGAAGAGCACAGGCAAGTCCCTGGCTTGGGTGGCGGTGCGCCCTCGGTGGGCGGCTCCTTCGTCTGACTGGCTGAAGCCTGTAAAGGGCCTGACTGACCGGCGTCCTCCCTTCCTTCCTTTTCCCACCATATTGGCTCCCGCCCCCCGGGGGCGTGGCCAAGCCGTCCCTTGCCCAGAATTGGCCTGCGGCCTTCAATTGACGTTCTTTACACTACTGGGGCTGGGGTCGTTTTTGCCCAAGTCTTGAAAACTTGTCCCCCTGACCCCCTCAGGGATGGCCCAGTTCGGTCCCTGCCTCCGACACCCCGTCGTTGGTTCAATCCCACAACAGCCTGCCAATGGAAACCCGTCCCTGCGTCCGGGACGGCACCAGCTCCCGCTTCTCGTCCCCCTCCCCGTCCCCACAGGTGCCTTAAAGGGCCCTCGTCCACCCAAGGTGGGGGACAGAGGTCCTCACTCTCCGGCCCTGGTGTGGGGGAGAGTGTGGGGGTTGGGGATCGGGAGTTGGGGCGCTCTGAGATTAAAGAGTTTTACCTCTGACAAATGAGTGCGAGGTGTGTTGTGTTCAACATTTTCTGAAGCTGAGTGAGGAACGTTTCATTGATACCCAGTGCAAAGCTGAGAGTTGGACTTATTGTCCCCATTTTATAGATAAGAAAACGGAGATCTACGGGGTGGGGAAGAGCATTCCAGTCATGTGTGACCGCGGAACCCCAATCTTTAGGAGGATGAGTGCTGGAGCCAGAATAGTTCGTGAGGAATCAGTCCCCGGAGCCCACATGTTCCCCAACAAAACCTGAACCTCCAGCCCGGGAGGTTCCTACCATAACAAGACGCTGGAGGTTAGAGAGTAGGTGGAACCTGGTCGTAATTTAGGACTAAGTAAACATGGACCCTCCATCTCCCATTAGACCACCACTGGAAGAATGCTAGCAAGACAGGACAGGGCTTACTGCCACTCAAACACGTTTGTAGGCTGTTTACATGTATTAGCTCCTTTACTCTCCTTGGTAAACCCAGGAAGTAAAAACGAATATCCCCACGTTATAGGTGAGAAAAATGCAGCATCAAAGGTAAATCAAAAGAACCGTCTAGTATTAAGGCTTATTAAGGCTGCTGTCGGGGGCGGGGGTTTCTTCAACTGACAGTGATCATCTAATGGGAAAGAAAGCTTCCTACAGCTGTGACTATCTCCAGCAAAGGGGATGAGAATTAGAGGTCAAAGTGGAAGGAGGAAAATATGTGAATGGAGGGTCTACTCCCCCTGCTGGCCGGGGCCTCCCGTTACAGCAAGAGCGATGAAGGTCACAGCTGCAGAGGGGCCCTAAGGCCGAGAGGCCTGGGAGGGGGTGGGGCTACTGCCACGGGAGGAGCCCAGGCCCGGCCCCCGCTGGGGGACGAATCATTTCCGTCCGTCGAGGAACTGGAAGCCGCCGGCCCAGCGGCGGGCAGAGCGCCTCGGGCAGGGCCTCCTTAGTCGGAAGTGGCGCCTGAGCCCCAGCGGCGGGCCCGGGTGAGAGCAGAGACGGGGCGGGGCATACGCCAGCCTCTCGGCCTGTGCCCTGGAAAGTAGGAATCCCAGCTCTCCGAGGGACTGAGCCGGCGTCGTCGCCTGGGAAACGGCGCCACAGGCCGGCGAGGGGGTGGAGTTTCCGGAGCCGGTGGCGGATGAAGGGAACTCCCGGTGGCGGGTGTGGGAGGAGGCGGGACTTGCCACTCAGACTCGTTTACCTGCTTCCACCTAGGCCGGCGTCCAGAATGGCGGAGGTGGGGGCCCAGGGCCGCCTGTGGTTGGAGAGCCCCTCTGGGGGGGCGCCCCCTATCTTCCTGCCTTCGGACCGGCAAGCCCTGGTGCTGGGCCGGGGACCCCTGACCCAAGTCACGGACAGGAAGTGCTCCAGAAACCAAGGTGGCTGGGGGCGGGTTCTGAGCTGGGGGGGACGGGGCTTGCTTCAGGACGGAAACACAGCCCATCGGAAAGGGGGACAGTTAATCCCGTCATGGAGATGCTTGGTTATTGCGTGGTGCAGCCAGGCCCGAAGTTGGCAGGATCCTCTGGGGAGCACAGGAAAGGAAAGGTTGTGCCTGACCTGGAACTAGCCAGACCCCTTGGGGGAGAGAGGATGTAACCAATCCCGGGAGAGTTGTCACTGGGCAGAGAAGGATGCTCATAGGCCATTGTGAAAGCCTGAAACAGGTTACGACCCTTGTCAAGCAGAGCCGATTCTATGGAGAAAAGTAAATGTCGCTAGGTGGGGATGGACGGTTGCCGGCCAAGCCCAGAACTTACGTCTAACCACACTTTTAGTCAAGGAGGAAGCCAATTCCATAAAGTATCCGCCCTGTCCTTAGGCAACCATCAGTGTCACAGGCAATTCTAGGGCCTCCATCTGGCTACTGCAGTCAGGAGCCAGTTCCACTTAGAGATAAACTGCCTCCTGCTTCCTCTTGAATGGATGCTGTAGTCCTATATCTGTGGCCTAATGCTGGCCACGCTCCCCAGTAATGAGGGAACCAGTCATACAAGGATGTAAATCCTGACTCCATCCTCTCAACCCTCAGTGGAGCTGGTGGCAGACCTTGGGACCCGAACAGTGGCAGTGAAACAGGTACCAGTGCTTCTGCAAAGGGCAGCAAGGCAGGGTGGGAAGGTGTCAGCAGTGCACAAGCCCATTGGAAAAATCTGATTGTCTGGGAGAGAAGGTGGTGTGGCCAGTAAAGAAAGAAGTGTTGCCTGCTTCCCCCTGGGGTATCCATCCAGCCACTTTCAAACTGGACAAGACTGAAAGCATGTAACTTTTCCAAAGCCCTGACTGGTGGTACCCAGTAAAGATGTGGGGCTTAGGGGTCTGACTGGTGGGTGAAGCAAGTCCTTTGCCAGGGTATTTAATTGGAGGAGGTTCCTGCTGGGAGCAGAGCCAGTCCCAGCTCCTCCCTCTTCTTCTGCAGCTGGGAGTTAACCCCTCAACTGCCGGTACCCAGGAGTTGAAGCCGGGGTTGGAGGGCCCTCTGAGGGTGGGGGACACGCTGTATTTGGTCAATGGCCTCCACCCGCTGACCCTGCGCTGGGAAGAGACCAGCACACCAGAATCCCAGCCAGATACTCCACCTGGCACCCCTCCGGTGGCCCCAGACGAGGAGGGGGATCCGGAGCAGCAGACAAAGCGGATGCGGAAGTCATCCCCCAGCTGGGAGACCTTCGAGAAGTTGCTAGTGTTCACAGCATCTGGGGTGAAACCCCAGGGCAAGGTGAGGGCCAAGCTGAGTGCTGAGCGAGCCTGACACAGACAGGGGACCTAAGTCCAATTTTGCTGTACGCCCCTGGCAAGTTTCTCAACTTCTCTTAGCCTCTATTTACTCTTCTGAAATGGGCCTGATGACAAACTCAGGGTTGTTGTAAACAATAGGGAAAGTGATGTATGTCAGCTCCTGCCTGACCCACAGCAACCACCCAGCAGTCAACAATGACCATGACCACTTCAGCAGGACCTATTGTAACAAGTATTTCTGAGGTCCAGAGAGACTTGAGCTCAAATTTTATTACCACCATGTTGTCTGAGCTCCACTTCTCTCACCTCCAAAATGATGGATCTGGCTGACCAGTTAGCTCAGCTGGTTGTAACACCAAGGTCAAGGGTTCTGTTCCCCATACAGGCCAGTAGCCAAAAAACAAGATGATGAATCCATTAAACCATGTGGCACAATCCCTGACAGTGTAGTTAGCACACAAAGCTTTGCTCCTGTTTATGTTCATGGTTATTAGCCCTCTGAGGTGGAGAAGGCCAGGAGAGGAAGATGGGCAAGATATTAACCCTCATTTGAAAAATTGGAATATGGGGACGGGGGCGTAGGAGCAATAGGAGACAGTAAAGTTAAGATTTCAGGCTCTGCACTCTGAGGTATCTGGGATGCACATTCCTGCTGTGCCATGTCCTTACATAAGACAAGTAAGCTCTCGGTGACTCATTTTCCCCATATGTAAGATAGACCCTGCCTCACGTGTTGGCATGAATCAACCTTTCAGTGAGGAGGACCAGAGGTGTCACAGTGCTGCTGTTCCTCTTTTCTTGGCAATGCCAGGTGGCCGGCTTTGATCTGGATGGGACCCTCATCACCACACGCTCTGGGAAGGTCTTTCCCACTGGCCCCAGTGACTGGAGGTGATAACAGGCCAGAAAAGGGAGTGAGTGAGTCCTGGAGTCCTCCAGGCCTCAGGTCACCCCTGCCACTCTCTACCTGCCCTAGAATCTTGTACCCAGAGATTCCACGTAAGCTTCGGGAGCTGGATGCGGAGGGCTACAAGGTATGTGCGTGTGCATATATGTGCACCTGTGTGTGCAGGCACGGCCAGACTGCAGGTCTGATGGGGCCCTGGAAAGGAGGGCACCTGGTGACACCCATCTGCTCTCCAGCTGGTGATCTTCACCAACCAGATGGGCATTGGGCGAGGGAAGCTGCCAGCAGAGGAGTTCAAGGCCAAAGTGGAGGCTGTGGTGGAGAAACTGGGGGTCTCCTTCCAGGTATGGCTGAAAGGGAGGCTGAGGGGCTATGTGGGAAGGCAGAGATCCAGAGAGAAGGCATAAGAAAGGGACCCTAGTTGGGGTCTGTGTGGGGACAGAGACCCTGGGGCACTGGGCAGCTCTCCTTGGGTTGGTGAGGGTTGGGACAGCATCCATTGGGTGCTTGAGGAGGAGCTGAGGTCAGTGCCTGACCTGCTCCCCGCCCACAGGTGCTGGTAGCCACGCACACAGGCTTGTACCGGAAGCCAGTGACCGGCATGTGGGACCACCTGCAGGAGCGAGTGAGCTGTCCCTTCTCTACCTGGCCTCCCTCCGGGCCGCTCTCCTTTTCCCTTACCCAGACTCCTTCTCACTCTTCCTCTTTCTTCCTCTCCTCTCCCCTCTTGGTCCACACCTTCTGTTTTAATTTTAGCTGTCACATCATAGTTATTGGTACACAAGGCCAGGGCTCTTAAACTCTGAAAATCACAGTGGTCAAGAGAGAAATCACTCATCCATTCATGTGTTCATCTGTTCTGAAGTTCAGCCAGTTCTTGAGCTGAAGATATCACTGAGTTAGACACACGCCTGCTTCAGCGGTGCTCACGTAGCAGTGAGGGCGGCCAACCGAACCTGCGTGGACTGGTGTGGAAAGTGGCAGGAGGGTGCAGCAAGATAAGGCAGCGCACCATTTTAGCTATGGTGGTCAGGAATGGGCTCTCTGAGCAGGTGACATTTTGGTTTTGGTGTTTTTGGGTTTTTTGTGTGGCTGGCTAGAACAGGGATCCGAACCCGTGACTTTGGGGATAAGGCTGCGCTCTAACCACCTGAGCTAACCGGTCCGCCAAGGTGACATTTGAGCAAAAGTCTAAAGGAGGTGAAGGAGACAGCCATCTGGGTGTCTGGGGGAAGTGGTCCAGGCTGGAGTAAGAGCAAGTGAAATGGCCCTGGGGTAGGACTGAGCCTGGCACGTTTACAGACAGTGAGGAGGCCCACTGGGCTGGACCTGAGTGAGCGAGGAAGGGAAGGTGGGGCCCTGTGGGCCACAGTGAGAACTTCACCTTTACCCTGAGTGAGGCGGGAGCCACTGGAGTGCTCCAAGAAGGGGGGGGTAGGGAAGATGTGAGCTGACATAGGTGGGAACAGGCACTGTCTGGTGGCCACGCAGGGAACAATTGGGGGCAGGGGCAGAAGCCAGAGGAGCAGCAAGGAGGCTACTGCGCAGTTCATGATCAAGGTGGAGGCAGTGAAAGGGGTGAGACGTGGTGGTGAGGACGTGAAAGGTTAGAGGAGATCAGATGTGAGGAGGAGTTCCTCACTGCCCGTTTCTCCCAGGCCAACGAGGGAGTGCCCATCTCCATCGGGGACAGCGTATTCGTGGGAGGTAAGGGCCCTGGGGGCTGCTGTGGCTGGCCTGGGACCCCTATCTCCAAGCTTGCTGGTGGAGAGGGGAGTGTCCTGTGTATGTTCCAGATGCAGCTGGACGCCCAGCCAACTGGGCCCCGGGGCGGAAGAAGAAAGACTTCTCTTGTGCGGACCGCCTGGTGAGGCTTCCTGCCCCCTGCCCCCCAGGAGCCCAGCCCCCGCCCCCTGTCTAACCTCCACCCTGGCCCCCAGTTTGCACTCAACCTTGGCCTGCCCTTCGCCACGCCTGAGGAGTTCTTTCTTAAGTGGCCGGTGGCCAGCTTCGAGTTTCCAGCCTTTGACCCGGTGAGGCCTGAGGGATAGGGAGGGTGGTGGTGGTTGTGGGAATGAGGGTGAGGGTCTCATGCATCTTGTCTGCCCCCTCCCAGAGGACTGTCTCCTCCTCAGGGCCTCTCTGCCTCCCCGAGTCCAACTCCCTCTTGAGCTCCGACCCAGAGGTGGTCATCGCAGTGGGATTCCCTGGAGGTGAGATGCCCTGGGCCCAGGATGCCCTGAGCCCCCAACTCCTAGGTCCTAGGGCACCCACTGATACTGTGCGCCCCCTCACAGCCGGGAAGACCACCTTCCTCAAGGAGCATCTTGTGTCTGCTGGTTACGTCCACGTCAACAGGGTATGACTCAGTCTGCAACCCTGGGCTGTGTTTAGTGGCACCCCCCATCTGTGTCGTCCCTGTCCCTGTACCCGTCTAGTCTTTGGGGCCCAGCCTGTGTCTCCTTGCTACATCTCTGCCTTCTCTCTAGGTGTCCTGCCCCCTCTCCCCTCCGTTTTTCCCCTCTCAGGGTCTTTTCTCCCCCTGGGTCTCCTGGCACCCCGTTTGTGATCTGCTCTCCTCAGGACACACTGGGTTCGTGGCAGCGCTGTGTGACCACGTGTGAGACAGCTCTAAAGCAAAGGAAGCGGGTGGTGATCGACAACACAAACCCGGACGTCCCGAGTCGGGCCAGGTATCTGGGCCATGGGCTCTGTGGGAGGCCTCCGGCAGGGTGAGCAGGGACCTGCTGACAGCCCACCCCCTTCCTGGCCCCCACAGGTACATCCAGTGCGCCAGAGACGCAGGCGTCCCCTGCCGCTGTTTCCTCTTCGCCGCTACCCTGGAGCAGGCGCGACACAACAACCGGGTGGGCGGCGCTGCGCACGCCCCGCCTCTCCCCGCCCCTCCTCTCCCCGCCTCGCCTCTCCCAGCCCTGCCCCTCCTCTCCCCGCCTCGCCTCTCCCAGCCCTGCCCCTCCTCTCCCCGCCTCGCCTCTCCCAGCCCTGCCCCTCCTCTCCCCGCCTCGCCTCTCCCAGCCCTGCCCCTCCTCTCCCCGCCTCGCCTCTCCCAGCCCTGCCCCTCCTCTCCCCGCCTCGCCTCTCCCAGCCCTGCCCCTCCTCTCCCCGCCTCGCCTCTCCCAGCCCTGCCCCTCCTCTCCCCGCCTCGCCTCTCCCAGCCCTGCCCCTCCTCTCCCCGCCTCGCCTCTCCCAGCCCTGCCCCTCCTCTCCCCGCCTCGCCTCTCCCAGCCCTGCCCCTCCTCTCCCCGCCTCGCCTCTCCCAGCCCTGCCCCTCCTCTCCCCGCCTCGCCTCTCCCAGCCCTGCCCCTCCTCTCCCCGCCTCGCCTCTCCCAGCCCTGCCCCTCCTCTCCCCGCCTCGCCTCTCCCAGCCCTGCCCCTCCTCTCCCCGCCTCGCCTCTCCCAGCCCTGCCCCTCCTCTCCCCGCCTCGCCTCTCCCAGCCCTGCCCCTCCTCTCCCCGCCTCGCCTCTCCCAGCCCTGCCCCTCCTCTCCCCGCCCTCCCCTCCTCTCCCTGCCCTCCCCTCCCCTCCCCCGCAGTTCCGGGAGATGACCGGCTCGTCTCACGCCCCTGTGTCGGACATGGTCCTGTACAGCTACAGGTACCACCGCTGGGCTGGCCTGGGGCAGGGCGCCTGGCGACAAGGTCCGGCCTCCCCTCACCGCCCCCATCTGTCACCAGGAAGCAGTTCGAGGCCCCGACGCTGGCCGAAGGCTTCTCGAGGATCCTGGACATCCCGTTCCGGCTGCACCTGGAGCCGCGGCTCGAGCGGCTGTACCGTCAGTTCTCCGAGGGCTGAGATGCCCTGCTCCCTCACCCCATAATAAATGGCATTTTTCTTCAAGCCTGGCCAGCACTGTGCTGGGAGGAAGCGTGCTCCTCACTGGGGGACAGGCCACAGCCTGCTCTCTCCCTGACCCACAGGAGGCCCTCTGTTTTGTGCACAAAAGGAAGCTTTAGGGACATTTTCAGGTAACAGAAAGGCGGGGACCTGGACTGGTTCAGGCTTGCCCCTGCCAGGATCCCAGGTATTTTGGAAGTGAACCCTCCTCGGAATCCAGGATTTTGCCTAGCACCAAGCAGGTGGCCCACATCAGTCCCCGCAGAGAGGATTTAGGCTTCACTGGGCCTGATTATGAGCACATTAGAGGGAGGCTGGGAAATCTGGAGGGCAGGCACTGAGTGGTCCCTCTCCAGAACCAGCAAATAAGTCTGCATGACACAACCTGGAGCTCGGATCAAGGCCAGGCAGGTGACCGATGAGGACAAAATTCAGGGCTCTAGACATTGCACTTGAACCCAGGGGAAGTGGGCATGGACCTGCCCCGGGCCAGCAGCAGTGCAGGTTGAGGGTGGCAGCCCAGAGCCAGATCTGGTCCTGGACCTGAGTGCCTAGGCCAGCCAGACCTGCTGCATGACTAGTTCCAGGAGGCAAAAACTGCCCCGGTCTGCCTTTTTTTGCATACGGCTCAATGAAGCCTGTTGAATCCAAAGGGAAACAAAAGTGGCCTCAGGGGCACTGGGCAGTAGGTGCTAGAAACAGGGAGGACGGACACACAGAGCACAGCCTCATACTTCCAACATGGACCAGACATGTCTGGGCCCTGAAAACGAGGTCCGCTTATCAATCCCTGGCTTGTCACAGCTGGGGAATGATCCACACCAGGTCACTCGGCAGATCCATGCTGAATCCCATTTTCCCTCCCAGCTCAGGTAACAGTGATCTCAAAGTACAGCCCCCAACCAGAAGCCCAGGCCTCCTACAAACTTACTAGACCTGCACATCCCCAGGCTCCACCTGGATGGACTCCATAAAAAAAACCCAGGGTCTGGGCTTGGCCATCGGGATTCAACCAGCCCTCTGGGGACCCTTCTGGCACTCAGGTCTGAGGACTGCTACCATGGGAGAAGGGCTTGGCCTCTCTCTGGCCATGGCATCTCTGACTACATAAGTCCTTCCACACAGAGCCGGGAGCTGCCAGGCATCTGGGCAGTGAGCAGAGGTGGCAAGTAGGTTTTTAAAAGGCTTTATTGGGGAAACGTACAAGGGTGGGGACCATCCTGGGAGACCTCAGGACTCTGTCCTCCATGTCGCTGGGCAGTTGCAGTCCCCAGGGGCCCCTGCTCAGAAGCATCCAACCTGGGAGGCAGGGGAATGTAGTTGGGAGGGGCTGGACAGCGGCTCCCAGGAGCCCCTGAGGTCCCGGAGCACAGAACCCACACCCTGCTGTGCCTGTCCCATGAGTCTGCAGGGCCCCAGAGAACAGAGAAGAGCCTCGCCCTGCCCAGTTCTGGAAACTGCACCTCCAGCTGCCCCAGGAACCCCCTGGCCCTGCAGGGGGTGAGGCTGGACTTTCCCAGGAGGCCTTGGCCTGCTGGGGTGGCCATGCCTCTTACTCTCTCTGCTCTGGGCTTCCCAAGGCTAGAATACAATCACCCTGCTTCTTCTCAAAACCCCAGGCCTGTCTGAGGGTCTACCCTGCTCTCAACATAGTCGCCACTCACCAGTCTCTGTGGGGGCCTCATCTGTGACTCCTGAAGGGGCCCAGCTTGGGGGTAGCCACTACCCCCCCATCTGTGGGAGGAAGTGAGGGAGGCAGAGTCAGCAGCAGCGGGAGGGGCAGGACAGCAAGGGAGGTGGGATGGAGGTGGAACCAGGCTCTGGGGGGTCCTCACCCCTCGCTGCTGCTGCTCCTGCTCCAGGTTCCGCTGCAGGACCTGCTGCTGGTTGGCGATGACGCGCCGGATGCCATTGACAAAATTGCTCTGGTCATGGGGGATGAGGCCGATGAAGATCTTCTTCTCCGAGGAGTATAGGAGCATGAGCACACGGATCTCACACGAGGCCTTGTAGGAAAAGTGCACGCAGCCAGCCTGGCAGGTGCAGGGCACGTCATGGGATGGTCCCTGACACAGATGACCCTCCCTGGCACAATGGACTCAAACTGCACGGGCCAGCGTCCCTCAGACCAGAGCTGGTGCCACAGAGCACACCTTGAGCCACGTGCATTCTCACTGCTCTATCCTCACGGTCCCCCAGGAGGTAGGCACCGTTATTACCCCCACCTGGGGACGAGGAGACAGAGGCCAAGAGCAACAGGTGGGCTGAGGACAGCAGGCTCTCTGCAAGGGGTCTGGGAATCTGCACCCAACAAGCTCCAAGGAGGCCACAGTGGCCCTGAAGTGGGCACCGTCAAAACTATAGATACACAGGATGCGCCTAAGATCACGCCAGCGTGCAACAGGCAGGTGGTTGTGGTGGCAGCCCCAGCAAGCCTGGCACTGAGTGCAGCACCCCACCTTATGCAGCCCCCCTTCCTTTCTACCAGGGGAAGCCGAGGCTCCAAGGGAAAGGGAGGCAGGACTGCTGGAGACAGCGCCAGCCCTCCCACCACAGTCCCACTGCCATGACCACAGGTCTGCCGTGGCAGCGCTGATGTGGTTTTCTGTAATAACCACCACAATGCTGACTGTCCCTAATGGAGCTCACTGGCTCCTGCATAGGGATCACCATCCCACCTTACAGAGGGGAAACTGAGGCTGAGAGCTCCAGGGACTTGCAAGTCACCAGAGCCAGAGGGGTTGTGTGGGCCTCAGCCCTGCGTGCGCCGCCTGGGGGGCCAACATCTCATGTTAGTCTTCAAACCCCTGAAGGGACCTGGCTCTGTCCATCCCAGCTGGGCGCCTCCTGGGCCCCACTCACAAAGCCATTGTCCATGATCCGGCAGAGGCTCTTCAGCGTCTCCAGGTCCTTGGTGAAGTGGAACTGCACCAAGCGGGAGTTCCGGAACAGCGGCACCAGGGTGGTCTGTGGGGATGCCGAGGGGGCGACAGACACCAGGGGCGCTGGAGTCCAGGACCTCACTTGGTTCTCCCACCACGGCCTCCCAACTCTCTGACCAGCCAGCTCCAGCCAACAGGCCCAGGAACAAAACCCAGACATCCCGCAACGCCACACCAATCTGTTCTCCTTTCTATCTTCCTCATCTCAAGTGCCACCTCCGTAAACACAGGGAACCCGTAGTCCTGTCGTCCACCCCCTACTCCTCAACCCATCCCAGCCTCTTGCCAGAACTGCTAAGCCAGTCTGAAATCCGTCTGCTTTGCCCATTCTTGGCAGCCACCACCTGACTCCAGACCACCTCCATATCTGTCTCTCCCTGTAACAACTCTGACAGTAAGTACATGGCCACCCAACCCTGCCTCATTCCTTCCCTGCACAACAGCCAACATCAGGTCTGAGGGCCTCACCCCAGCTTAAAACTTGGGACAGTTCCTGTGAGCCCTCAAAGCCAGACTTGCAGGACCTGCTGCCCCTGCTCTCCACATCGGTCGGCCAGCCGCCAGCCACAGGGCCCATGCACACACAGTCCCTCTGCCTCGGCCACTCTCCTCCTCTTCCCACTGGCAACTCAAGGGGTACCTCCTTGGGGAAGCGCCCCGGCAGCACCCCCACAGCCTCCCCTTCAGCACTCACCAGGAGCTGCTGCGGGATGAGCTGCATGTACAGCTTCCTCGGCCACTGCTCGGTCCTCCTGTGGGGCATGAGGAGAGGAGGGTCAGGAGGCCCCGTGTAGCCGAGATTGGCCTCCACCCCTGAGCCCCACACTCACAGGATCTCCCCTTGGTTCACGTAGACATGTGATGGCAGCCACCTCTTGGACCGACTGTTGGGCTCAGGCCTGGGCTTTTGGGGGAAAGGAAGAGAAGAGACCTCAGGGGTGGGAGATGCCCAGACTCCAGCACTCCCTTCACAGCCCAGAGCCAGTGAGAACGTGGAGGTCCTGAGGTCCCTGGACCGCCCAGGGCTCACCTCCTGCCACTCCATGACTCCACTCCATGCCAGGAACTTGTTGTTGACGATCTGGACTGGACCTGAATTGACACCACCCGGTCCCACTGCCTGCAGGACAGGAAGACGGGGTGGACCATGCATGCAGAGGGGTCCTGCCCCAGGAACTTCCCAGAAGAGGCTCCTAGGAAACCTCGATGCTGTTCTAGGGCCTCCCAACCCTTCCTCTTTGCCCTGGCCTATCAGCCCCATGCCCCCAGGGGACTCCCCAGAGCTGGCCCTGCCCCTTGCCTGCTCACAGCCCTCCTGATGGCTCCCAAGTGCCCTAAGGCAAGCCCCAGCCCCTCACCTGGTTTACAAAGTCCAGAGTTTACCTGTAATTAAACTGGGCAACCATATAATTTGCTATACAAGCTGGGACACTTTTGAGAAAAGGGGGCACTATCAATAATCAGTAAAGCATGAACCAGGATACATGATCACCATCCAGAACCTTCCAGCCTCACAACCACCCTCCCCCTGACGAGCATGTCTAACTTACCACTCACCTGCCCTGCTCCACAGGCAGCTTCCCTGCTGCCTGGACCCACTCTCTATTGCCCCTCCAGCCCTTCAAAGCTTCACTAACCGACTTCTCCCATCAAGTCCTGGGGTGAACAAGCCACCACCTCCTCACAACTTCTCTGATGCTCCTTGCTCCTGCCATCACATCACACTCTGCCTACACTGTATCTGGCTGCCCATGTCCACTGACTAGGAGGCTGGGGGCAGACCTGGGCCTAGCTCCTCTCTCCCCCCAGCAGGGGCAGGCTGAGCCCAGCCGGCACACCTGTTTGCGGGTGGTGATGACCTGCCGGATGGCATTGACGAAGCCACTCTGGTCATAGGGGATGAGGCCCATGAATATCTTCTTCTTGGACGAGTACAGGAGCATCAGCACACGCACCTCGCAGGGGGAGATGTGGGGGAATAGCATGCAGCCCGCCTGGGGGGGAGAGGGCCAGCAGGTCAGGGGCCCGAGGGCCCTGCTGATGGGGCCACTCACCCCTCCATGCTAACTTGAGACTGCCCTGTCTGGAGGAAGGACAGAGGGAGGCCATCAATGAACAGAAGTCCTTAAAGTCAAGGCTGCAGTCCTAAATGAAGGGCTGCAGCTGCAGCTTGACTTTCCAGGAGTATGTGATGTGCACTTTAGCCCCTGCCTGCAATGACTCTCAGGTTAAAAGTGGCACCTGAGACCCACGTCTGGGGTGTGAGGATCCAGAGAGGCCCCATCTCCCTCCTGGCACTGGCCCTGCCCTACTGAGCCAGGCTAGCATTTGCTGCCTGGTCTTGGGCCCGCCTAATGGAGGCAAACTGGGCTGGGGGTTAGGAACCCAGAGTCAGGCCAACTGCTGGTTGCAAACTGGCCCTGCTACCTCCTAGCTATGTGACCTAAGTCAAGCACCCTCCTGGTTTTGGACCTCAGTTTCCCCATCTGTAAAATGGGATAACTCATAAGATAACATAAAAGTGCTACATAAATGCTTGTCTAGTGAAGTGCTCTTGACTCTTTGATGGGACATAAGAGGACATGAGGTTAACAGATGTCTCCATCTCTCTGGTGTCTGGACCAAGGAGTGTGCACTTCCCATAACACCCATGTCCCCACTGGCCCACCTCCCAGGACTTGCTGCCCTCCACTGCCAGCCTAACTTCTCTTGACCCCAGGTCCAGCCCAGGGACCACCAGCTCAGAGCCCCCATCCCTGGCCACCCTGGAACCACAAAGCAGAGGATGTATGCTGACATCCATCTTCCCTGCAGACTGGGGACTTTGGGACAGGACACAGGCCTTCAACAAATGGCGCTGGCCAGTTAGCTCAACTGGTTAGTACAAGGTACTGTAACACCAAGATCGATCAAGGGTTCAGATCCCCTTTTACAGGCCAGCAGCCAAAAAAAACCCAAACAAGAAACAAAATTTACATGCAGCAAACTTCACTTTTTAGGGGACTAGCCAGTTACCTCAGTTGGTTAGAGCATGGTGGGGTTTTTTTAATCTTTTTGTTTATTTTGTTTTTCTACTTTATTTTTCCTTTCATCTCATTGTGATTTTAGAGTGTGCTATTGATAACACCAAGGTAAAGGGTTTGCATCCCTGGCCAGCTGACCTCCCCCCCCCCCCCAAAAAAAAAAAAAAAAAAAAAAAAAACTTTTTGGGGTTTTTTTTTTTTTTTTTAATTCTTT